TTTTTTTTTTTTTTTTTTTTTTTTCACGAGAAAGTAGAGGTGAAGAGTTTACTTGTATATTTATTTATTTAAAGCTAAAAGGAAGAGTATGATTTATGGCAAAAAAACTAACTTATATGATAAAACTATTTGGTAAAATTAACTAATAAGTTAAATGAAATAAATTTTTTAATAAACTTGTTTGAATAGCTTATTTTAATGAACTCATTTGGAAAGCTACTCAAGAAAGCTTATAAATAAGCTCAAGCTTAAAAATAAAAAAAAAATTAAAAAAAAAAATAAAAAAAATTTCCTACCAAACCAAACTTATTTGAATTCATGAAGCTTATACGCTAATCAAATAAACTATTAGTTAACTTATATGCTTACCAAACACAAAGCACTCAAACATGTTTATGAAATATGAATAAACCCCAAACCTTAAAGCAACTCGCAACAAATTAAAGAATCTACTTTCTATTGAAGCCACTGGGCAAAATACGACACAGATACTACAGAATAATGATTCTACCATGGAGAAAAGATAAGCTATTTAATCCGATTCTGAAAGTGAAACCTAACATTACTTGGAGAACCCGGGACTCGCCTTGCCGTGAGCTGTACAATGGCACCATCAGTAAGAAGACGACGCAAAACTCTGGCGATATTTTTGGAATCGTCAATGCCGAGATGGTGACTTCCTAACGGCAGGATTTGGAGTTCCCTCATCATCGACATCATTCCTGGTGCCTGCCGTTGAAAGATCAAGAAAATTAGTTGCATAGAGAAAACAATAATTAACCAGAAATGAAAAACGTAATCACCGTGGGATATATCATTTTCTTTTTCTTCACAGATAACCAAGGTTTGATAATGCCACCCAAAAAAACATTAATTCTCTTTCGATCTCACAGAGATTTCCCAAGTTTTGGGCTATTGTTGCGAGTAATAGGCCAATTATGCTAATTGTATATATATGAATCTTAGTTTTGTAATGTTGTTGGTTATGAATCTACAGGTGTACTTTATGTAATTTCAAAATTCTCTGTTTCTTTTTTCATCAATGTAATAAGTACAAAAGCTCACGGCTACTTTACGAAATTAGGCGGTGTTTCATCAATGTAATAATGTTGTTTGATTAGCTTATAAGCTTCCTGTATTCAACTAAGTTTGGTAGGACGACCTTTTTAAAAAGCTCGAACTTATCTCATCTCATAAGATTCCTTGCGTAGCTTTTCAAATGAGCCCATTGATATTTTTATTTCAACTAGCTTATCAGCTAATTTTACCAAACACTTTTATCATAATAGCTAGTTTTTCACCCATAAATCATAAGCTATCAGCTCAAAATTCACTTAAAAGCTATAAGCTAGCTTATTAGCTAGGTTTGCCAAACATAGCCTTAACATATAATACAGTCTAGTCAAAGCATGCTACTACTGTGAAAGGCTCAGACTATTTTGAATCCTTGATACTTAATACAGTCGCTCTAATTGTTAGCCAATTTAACCAGTTTCCTACCATGATAAAAAAGCTTGAATTTAAAGTAAGTTGCAAGTGTTAACATCAATTCTCATGCACTTACCCTTCTGTTGTAAAAGTTCAGGTAAATATCCTTGAGATTTATCCATTCCATAAAATATGGTGGCAGTTTCATCCCTGATACTTCACATTGCTGAGGTACTTTGGTCTTCAAATCCCAATTTCCACTGCAAAGTGCACATACATACAGCAAATACTTAAATAAAAGACACTGTAAAGTAAATTAGAACTTCCATTATTCTTTTTGTTTCATTTTTAATCTCTTAGTTGAAATTGAAAGTCAAGTGACACCAGAACTCTCATATTCTTTTTAGTCTTACGGGTCTGTTGGGAAATCATGTTCAAGATTTATCTTTTGCTCCGTAAATTTTTTTGGACACACAGACTTTTTTTAAGCAAGCAGCTCACCAGGTTACGAATGCTGCTCCATTCAAACGCCCATCTCCATCTTCTCTCCATAACTGGATTTGTCCACCTCTGTCCTTTCTTAGCCAAGCTTCAAATTGCTCGATAACTTCATCAAACTTTATTGCTGTATCGTGCCAAACACTGCATGCGCACGTGAGATGAATAACTTCTCTAGCATACAAGAACGAGAAAAAAATTGGCATCGTGTCCTAAGTAAGTCCTTCCTCTATCCCAATTATTTTTCGCTTTAGAAATTTCAACATGACTTAAGATATTGCGTGCCTCATTTTTCTTTATTTTAGTCTAGTCATGAGTGTCCGTTTACTGCTCATATTCATAGAGAATAATCAGTTGACGAAGAGTATATGAGGGCAAATTAGGAAGATAATGAGAAATTGAGTGTTAATCCCTAAAGTGCAATTATTTGGAAAACTGATCCTGTAATAAACAGTTATAATTTGGTAATTTGCGTAAATTACCAATAAATTCAGAATTATAAGGAGATTCAATACTTAAAAAATTGTTCAAAGTAATTTGATCTGCCAAAGAAATTGGCGAAACCATCAAATAATCAACATGCTTCCTTCAACAAGAATATGTAAAAACATTCGTCTAGTGGAAACTCAAACATAGACATAGAAATGAAAATGCTAACAATTATTTTATCACGGAAGTCAGTAGAGTAACAATATTATACCGGTCAACACCAAATCCTCCATATTTTCCTTCAATATACTCATTTATTCGTTTCTCACTCATCTTTGTAGGCCTCACAAATCTGTAAAATAAGAGAAAAAAAAATGATGAATATTATGCGTTGCCGAAGAGGTCAAACCCGTCGCAAGCCACATTTTCCAACATAGCGTCCGCATAATAACAAATTCTAGTTAAACAAATTGCTAAACTGAACAGAAGAATAAATTGAGCAAACTCATCTGTTACTAAGCAAGAGATAAACATTAATGACACATTGACACTGCAAAAATCGCTTCCGAATTACTATTCCATCAAAAAATGATAATTAGCATGAATTCAAATGAAGTTATGGATCTATAATACCCTTGTCTTCAGGAATTACTTAGCTACACTTTTCCAATCATATAGAATCATTATCACTAGTGCAACTTCCATATTACTTTAAACAGCTTCCCGGAGGGATTAAAAACGAATGTGTACAAATAATACCAAATGGTTCAACAATTAACAAATAACAACACATAGGGAGATTCACGGCTCTCTTATCGTTGAAATTTGAGTACAACAATAAATGGTTAAACAAACCACTCAGAGCTAAACAGATTCCTGCAAATTGGGGAAATCAGTGGTACATTTAACATTAAATGAACTCACAGAAATATGCAAACAAAAGTAAACATATGACCTAAAAACAAGACCATCGAATAAAATCAGAAGCTCAATTATATCCGAGTAACAAACATACAAGTATACAACAAACACCGCCACACAATGGCACATATAATATCAAACAGCTTTGGAGAAAAGAAAGTTTCAGTCACCTGTGGAACATATCCACCACATCCATAGTTTTCGCATCGAATAACAGCACCGGAAACTCCAAAATCTCGACTTTCCCCTCCAAATCCAGCACTAGAAAGTAGTCGAACTCTTGAGCACGGAGACTCCGTACCTCTGCAACATCTCCCCCGAGCTCCAACGAGCAACTATGGCAGAATTTCTCAACGTGCATAGGATCATCCATCTTCACCAAATAAATGAGAGAAAAAAAAAACAGAAATCAGAAAA